TTGTAGAATCTTGAAGTGAAAGGACGAGAAGGTACCTGAGTGTTGTCCTACTCTGGCTGTGGTTGAGAATACACACGAATAAAGGAACATGAATTAACAAAGCAGAAAACCATGATCTAATGCGAGGAGCCACCTCCAAAAGTGACACGGGAGAAACCCCAGCAAAGAGAAATAATTGCATCAAGCACTGCCACTGACTCCCTACTTCAGAGTCAATACAGTAGATTGAGTGAATGAACACGCAGAAAGGTGGAGCCAGGCGGAAGAGCAGGGCTTGGAGTCAGAAAATCCAGATTTCTCTATGGATCTGCCTGTCATTGACTAGCTCTGTGACATTTAAATGTTCCTTATTCTCTAGCTGTAAACTCAGTTTACAAAAAAGTTCTGTTTGGTGGATATCCATTGTAGAGGCTGAAGAGATGGCTCTCAGGACTATTTGTGTCAGTGGAAAGAGAGAGAGAAGTGCATGACTTCAAGAACTGCTCTAAAGGGAACAGAATAAATAGCACTGTATGAATAATCACTTGTTGTAGCTGCAGGAGAGGAAGTGGTTAAGCAGGACTCCTAGATGTCTGACTTGGGAAGTAAGGTGGATGATGGGGATGTTTACCGAGATGAGGAACAAGTGAGGAGAAGTGGGTTTAAGAAGCTGATGGGAACATCCTGACCCTTGATTCTTCCCAATCTCCATAACTCAGAATAGATTAATGGGGTGAGAGGGTCAGAACTTGTCCGTAGTTTCAAATTTGACAGGGTTCTCTGGTTATGCTCGTGCTTCCTGAGGCTGAATTAACTCATCTCGAAGTCGCTGTATGTACCTTCCCCTAACTGATAAGACTGCTTCAGAGGACAAATAAGGAGATCTGGGACCTACAAATGTAAAATTATAAAGAAGAGAAGAGAACCAGGGGAGGCTTCAAGATTAGAAGCTGGTTTCCTGCCAGAATTTTGCTTCAGTTAATGCACTCGCCTACACTCTCCCGGGTTTCCAAAGACCAACTGCAGACTTGATTTCTGAAGCCCCTGTCAGTGCCTCCAGGCTTTGCTCCTGGATAAATGGAACTAGAAGGGAGAGAAAAAGGAACTCCCTGAGGAATGCGGGTGGCTGGCGGGACATCCAGCTGAGTGGCAGACTGAGGGAATGGCAGGACTGGATAGATATGTAATGGAAAGAACAGAGCTCCCTGTGGGCACTAAGCTACCACTTAGTGAAGCTTCATTTAAGTGCTATAGGCCTGGGAACAGGGAGCTGGGACCCAGCAGAGCCATGCTGAAGGGGCAGGCATAAGGGACACCCCGTGGCATCTTCTAATATCACCACATGGAGAGGACCTAGGCCGTGTGAACAGAAACACAGGTGGGAAATGGACATAGGTGGGGAGAGCAAATGTGAGAAAATATGTCACTTATTTTTAAAAAGAAAATATCTTATTAGTTTTGTTTTTAATTACAAAAGCAATGTATATTTATGTTAGAAAATAATAGAAACTGAGAAGCGAAACAGATAAATAGAGCATCGATTGTAATCCTAATCCTCTAGCTGTTTTTGCCATCTGGTATATTTACTGATTAGTTAATGCCAATCATTGAAAGCTCACAACAACCCTGAGACTTATGCAGTATTATCATTTCTTTCTCATCAATTAAGGAATTGAGATCCAGAGAGATTGAGATTTGCCTAACGTCATACAATTGGTAAGTGATGAACCCTGGATTTGAAACTCGTTCTGTCTCCCAAATTTCCTGCAATACCTTGTCATTATTTATAGACATTAGCAACAGTGAAGCCACTTCATCCAATATTCCCACTTTTTCAACTATTAAGTGTAGCTCGAAAGCAAAAAACGTACTCACTACAGGAAGACTTTTCAAAAGCATGTCCTATCATTCACATACTGTCACACTTCCTGCTGTTTTGTAAACTTACCCATTGCAAAAGTGTTTTGATTGATTGCTCTTCTGACAACCAGAACCGAAAGTGGTTGTCCTTCCTTCACTCAGCTGAGGCTTCCTTCTGCTTCTCCCCAAGGCAAGCTGTGGTTAACACTGCTGCTTAACCTCTTCCTCCTGCAAGGCCTTCTCTGAAGTTGGCCACTGTGACATGATGGCCATTTCATAACCCTAAAACTCAAGCCGATAAACAACTGCTTGAAAAACAAAAGAACAAATAATTTGTGTAACAAATTACTCTATTTCCAAGCTTTATTATTTCTTCTGTGTCTGACTCCAGTCCCATTCTTCAATTCTTCTGTGTAACACTCACTTCGTTCCAGCATTGACAAGAGTTTCTTTCCACAGATTACTTAATTCTGTTTTTTAAAAGCTGAAATTCTAATATTTTACTCTTTGAAGCAATGAATGCTGTGTGAATGTCAAAATGTTGCTAGCATCAGAATGGCCTCAATAAAGCATCACATACCCAGACCTCAATTTTGACTACTCAGCTTTGTTTCCCAGCAAGTTTAGTCCTCTCAGCTTTATTATACACATCTGCATACTCTCCATTATTAATCTGCCCCATTTTTTCATAAATCTCGAATAGTTTTCATTATGAGAGTGTTATTAAGAGCAGAACTTATAGACCAAGTTGCCTTGATTCAAATGACTAACACTCACTTTGTGACCCTGGACACCTCTGCTTTAGCTTTCTTGTCTGCAAAACAGTGTAAATATTTGTTTATTGTGAAATAAAATACTTGCAAATGGAATAGCCTGGAATACTTTCAACACACACGGTCGAGTTGGTCTGACTCATAGTGGTTCTGACTCCAGTGGTTTTCTGAGGCTGTAAATCACTCTGGGAGGAAACTATCCATCTTTCTCCTGCAGAGACATGGATGGATTCAAAGCACAGGAGATGCCCAGCCTTTGGATTAGCAGCACAATTTGCTCCAGGCTATACTATCAGTGCTCCCTTTTCAAGTGCATATTACAACTTATTACCATTGAATCAGAACCAACCCATAGCTGACCTTTCATTGGGTTCCCAAGACTAAAAAGTGCAGGAGAGATTGGCAATCTTTCTTCCTGTGCAACTCTGGTAGATTGAGCTACTAAAGTGCTTTTGGGCTACTAGTGTAACTCTCTATAGACTGTTGTTATTATTGTGTGCCATGGAGTCAATGACTATGAACTACTTATCTGAACCTTGCCCTATCATTTCACTGTCATCTTACAACTCTGACATTCTGATCACCTCTGAGAGACTTGAGCCTATTACAGCCACTGTGTCAATACATCTTGTTCAAGTGAAGGTCTTCTTCTTTCACTAACTAACCCTCCACATTTCCAAACATTACATAGTTTTCCAGGGTCTGGCCCCTCTCCCAACTACATGCCCAAGGTCTATGAGACAAAGTTGCACCATCTTTGTCTTGAAGGAACACTCCCACGTCCAGTCTCTATTGACCATGCCATGAAAACTTCTTTTTAAGCACTTAGTAAATGCAAAATATTAAGACAAATGGAATTGCCTGCCCTTTTATCCTTCTTAAGGGAGAAATAGAGATAGATTTCTTTTTTATAAATTTTTGCTTTAATTGATTTGCTTACAAAATTCATAATACATTGTGCTCCACAGTTTTTTTTCATTCATTTTGTGTTTCATACATTCCTATTCATTATGTTTTATAATTTTATAACCATCATTGATCTATGCCCACCATTACCCTGTCTTTCCAGATCCCTGCCAGATCTTTCCCGTTTCCATTACCCATACTTCCCTTCACCCACCAAATTGTACAACCCTATGATTTCCTTCTTCTCATCCTCACCCTTCTGCTCCCACCCTCCCCCCACTTGGATCCTCATACACATTTTGCTAGTTATCTTTCTATTTCTACAACAATGGTCTCATGCACTATTTGTCCTTATGAGGCTGAGTTCACTCAGCATAATGCTTTCCAGTCCCTCTCAAGTTATGCAGTAATTTTTTAAGGTCATTGCTCCTTTATTTCTTTAAAACAATTTTCTATTGTAATAGTTTTCTTTCTTTTGATTTATTGTCATTGAACGATTAATATTGCTCTTTTCCTAATATATAGTTATGTAATATATTAAATTTATTTTGTTAATTTCTTTGTCTTCTATTTAATTTACATTTTCAAAATTTGCCCAGCAAAGCATCAAAATAGCCTTAAGTAGTGTGCTGAGTATTTTGTAATTTCTTCTTGGTGTGATGGCCTACTGCTAATGACTCCCAGGAGAAGAGAATGCTATAGTCTAACCTGTGTTTTAGGGATCTCGGTCTGTAACAGCACCAAGACTAATAGATAAGGAGATCTTAGCATCAGGGAGATAAGTCCAGAAGTTGTTAGAACAAACCAGACTGTGGGACTGGAGTAAGAGTCGCACAAGAAAAGGTACTCATGAGGGGAGAACCAACAGGACCTAAAAATGGACTGGCATGTGAAATGGAGGAGATCATGTCAATCATTTTTATTTGAACGGATATAGGAGGTAAAACCATCAAGAGGAATGGCTTTTTCATGTTCCAAATATATAAGGGATTGAAATTTTTTTAATGTTAATTTCCATATAATTGTAGGTTTTTTAATCATACTAATTCAAATGTACCTCTTCACAGCTACTCTAGTACAGTTCTTTTGCAATTATTTTATTCATTCCTACAATGTCAGTTAACTAAAGAATGAATCTGAACAAACAATATTTCAAATGACAGACTTTGAAATGAGTAGACAGGATAAAGAATAAAGTTATTAGCTAATGATTATGGCTGTTAAGCGTTAACAAGACACATCACTTCCTCTACTGCAGGAATTGATATTTTAGATTAGGGCTTTCAAACAATGTGGGGCAAACAAGAGTACAATAAAAGAGGCTCATGTAGTTCAAGCCTCCCAGAGTCCTTATGCCTCTGCAGGCAAGAAATCTTTCCTCCAAACTAAATGAGATTACAATATTTCAATCTAATTGAGCTTTCACAGAAAGAAGGCCAAGATATATTAATATATACACAATATTGACTATGGTTGTATTAATTAATTATGTCTGAAAAGCTTAATACCCATCCAAGTCCAAAGGTGGAAGAACACTTCCACTGGTATGGTGATTGGCAGGAGCAGACTGTAAAAGTGTAGGCTGGTCGTGCTGGCACAGCCCTGAGGGAAATTATCTTCTACAGAGGCTGAGGAGAATAGTCCTGCTAGAGAAAGCAGGGGAATCAGCACAGTCAAGGTAGGAAGAGACAGAAACTTTCTTCTCTTCTACCTACGACCCGCCACACTGACTTTTAAAATCATATTAATATTGTTGTTGTTTTTAACTATGCTTTAATGCTGCTCCACTTCTTATTTTGATGTATCATCCTGGCTGCCTGTGTAATCATATTAGGAATGCCATCAATGACAGGCTAGGCTATTCCTAACTCTTCATTAATCAATTTATTGGTTGATGCTTCATATCTGAGCAGCTTTTTGGAGAGTGGGCACACCAGGAACTCCAGCAATGCGGGGTCCATGGAGCCGAGCCGTTCCTCTGCCCTCCCACTTGGGTCCCCCACCAGTCATGGCCACGATGCGTGAAGATACCTGCGGGAGACAAGGGACAGGGGTGCGCACGTGGGCCGCAGCACTGAGGCAAGCCTGCTGCAGGCTCCAAGCTGGATGGTTCTAAGCGGCCTCACCTCTCCCAGGAACCAGGGATTGACATTTTTAAAGAAGAAGAGAGAGAGACACACACAAGGAAAGAAAGGTGAGGGAGTTCAAAGCAAGCCTCTCCTTCAACTTAAAAAACAACATCACAACCAACCGTGCATGCCCAATCCTTTGGGTACGTGAACCTCAACAAAAAAAGTAGAGCTTTTTAAAAATGGAATATAGGTTTGACGATGATTCCCCACTTCCCCCATTCAATGATCTTTTTGACGGTGATAATCACACTGAACTCTAATATTCCAGGCAGTGTCGGGCAGATGCCAAGTTTGTGAAGTTTTCCTCCTTGCAGATGTGGAATTCTTTTCCTCTTCCAAAAGAGCAGCTTGAGTCTTGGCTCAAACCAAATAAGCACCCCAATTACACCCTTTCCAAGATGCTATTTTCATTCAAGACTCCCAAAGTCTGTGTGTTCAATGTGCAGAGAGTTAAGACAGACATGTTGCCTCAGACCACATGGCAGCGAGCCATGTAGCAGGGAGTGGCGGAGGCCTCCAGGCCAGAAATGGTGTGCTCTCCACTAAACCTAACTCCCTTCCCATCTCCCTTCCCAAAGGCTCCAGCTGGCATAGGGAGAAGTTTAGAAAATGAAGGTTAAGTTTTCCTATGCTGTGTCTGTGGGGTCAGTTTCTGTATTTTCTAAGAAATCCAGATGCAAGACAAACACAATTGTATTAATGGCAAGTAAGGGACAGAATATTTAAGAAACTATGGGGGGAAAACCTAGAGTATGTAGGAACCATAGCAAAAACCTCATCATTGCTTAAAAGAATGGTTACACAAATATTTCCTCAGCACCTATTGGGTACTAGGAACCATTCTAAGACTTGGCAGAGTTGTAAACAAAGCAGAGGACATGTTTTGTAATGGGGTTATATATACTTCTGGGCAATGAGTTGGGATTTATAATGGTCTTCTAGAGCCTGTCATATTAAGTTAAAGAACTTAAAAGATCTAAAAAGAACATGGTTGAGCACATAGTCATAGTGTTGATCTTAATTTCTACTTGAATTCCAACAGTTAACAAAGGACCAATACAAACCTTGTCTGCTTTGTCAAAAGAACTGTGGTGGTGCAGTAGCTCAGTCTAACCAAGAGGTTAGCAGTTTGAATCTACCAGTTGTCCTGTGGGAGACTGCTTCTGTAAAGGATTACCACCCTGGAAACCCCATCAGCCAGTTATACTCTGTCCTATAGGTTCACTATGAGTCAGAATAGACTCTATGCCCTGGTGTGTTTGCCTCATCAGCAATGTCTTCGCTGTGTGAAGTCATGTCTTCCTTCTCGGAGCTTCCGGCATGTCCTGTGAGCTTCTGAAATGCATTAGGTGTCCTGTTACACATTATAATTACATATGCTTTAAAAGCACAGCATGTCTCTGTAGCAGACTCCTTCCGCTCATCTCTGCAGACACCTACCCTCAAACTTCCCTCATTCCCTTCCTTTCCCTCAACCCCATTTTTCCTGTTAATTTCCACAAACCATATGCTCTTCGCACTTAGAACTAGATACTAATCCCTACATAGGCTAAACAGCTCCATACTTTTGAGGAAACACAGTTTCCTCAGATATACCAACTCCCCAACTCTTTCTTTCTCGAAAGAATCAGCTCTCTAAAGCCCTCTTGACTTCCCCAGGGAATGAAAAGATCCGATGTTTGGGCCCCTGCAAGGCTCTAAGCATATCACCATTAGCTCACTTATCATGCTGATTTTCCCTTTGTTTATTTATGGGTCCTAAGGCCAGAGTCCTCATCTTATCCACCTGGATCTCAGACCTCATATCTGCCTGAAACTAAAAGCCCTCAGTGAAAGTGTGCTCAGAACTGACCTGTATTTCTAGGAAGATAGTCATATGACTGGAGTATTTCTAAGGTTCCCTTAAAGAAAATCAACCAAACAAAAAAATCCCTAAAACAAAAATCTCAAACACTTGGTTTGGTCATGTTAGAAGTTTTCTCTAGTGTTGAGTAGAGTGTTAGATGAAAAGCCTAGAGACTTAGATTCTATTTCTAGCTTACCTGGCAATTCCTTCTGTGATCTTGGCCAAATCCTATTACCTGTCTAGGTCTGGAATTCTTAATTTACAAAGTGGAATTTGGATCAATCTAGAATAAGCTCAAAACTCAAACACATTGCTGTGGAGTCAGAATGGACTTCTAGGTGACCCTCCAGGGGGCAGAGATTGTCTTCTTCCTTGGTGTCACTGGTGATTCACACTGCCAGAGAATCTCAGCCTTTGGATTAATAGACAGTAGGTTTGTATTAATAGACATTTGGTTTCCAATGACAATGTCAATAGAATAATAATAGTCTTTCAGAGAGCTAAGTTAAAGGCTATGAAGCATAGTTAAGGAAAGACACTAAGTTGAAAAGACTAGTAATTTCTATGCAAAGCACAAGAGTGAGAGTAGGATACATCTGTCTTGAGTTTGCTGACATGGAACTGAATGGACCTTTGAGACCTTTTCAGCTAAAACATTTCACAATTCATGATCCATGAAAGATTATATGTAAAGTCAGTTTAATTTCATTCAGGAGGCATATATCAAGTGCCTGCTGCATAATGAACAGTGTGACATACAAATAGGAATTATCTTATCTGAAAGGGACTCAATGGTGATGCAGTGGAGGTAAGTGATAAGTATTATCTCCATTAACAAATATTAAAAATTAAGGCTCCACCAAAGAGCGGAGAAGCTGGGCCTCAGATTAACTTGCCTCTAAGTGCTGTCATCTTTCCTCCTCCTCCTCCTCCTCCTCCTTTTGTTGTTATGTGCTATTGAGTCAATTACTTGATGACTCATCACAACTCTATGAACAATAGCTATCCTTTATCTTGAGCCAATCTCACTGTCTCTGATACACCTGGGCCCATTACCACAGTCACATGTCTGTCCATTTTGTTCAGGTTCTTCCTTTCCTTTATGACCCTCTATCATTGGAGAGGAACATCATGCTTGGGAGGGGGGAGGGGAAGACCCTCTATGAGATGGATTGATTCAGTGACTGGGGTAATTGGGATGGGTGTGTCAGAGGCAGTGCAATTGGCACAGGATAGAGCAGGGTTTAGAGCTGTTGTACATAGGGTCTCTATGAGTTGCAAACGACTCGATGGCACATAACAACAACAGCAACCCTTGGAAGCATGATGTCTTTCTCCAAGGACTGGTACCTCCTGGCAATATGCCCAAAGTATGTGAGACAGAGCTTCACAATCCTTGCTTCCAAGGAGCAAACTGGCTTTACTCTCTCCAGGACAGATCTGTTTGTTCTTTTAGCAGTCCATGATGTGTTAATACTCTTCTCCAGCACCACAGCTCAAAGGCATCAATTCTTCTGTCATCCTGAGTCATTGTCCAGCTCTCAGATGAATAGCAAGCAAATGAGAAGACCATGGCCTAAATCAGGTGCATCTTAGTCTCTAGACTGCCATCACTGCTCTTTAGAACTCTTGAGAGGTTCTCAAGAGCAGACTTTTCTAAAGCAACTCGTCTTTTGGTTTCCTGAGTTCTGATGTTCTGAGTTCTGAGTCTTGATTACAGACTTAAGCAAGACTAAATAATTAACAACCTCAATGTTTTCTCCTTCTATCATGATACTGCCTGTGGGCCTGGTGGTGAGAATCTTTGTTATCTTGATTTTGAGTTGCAATTCATACTGAAGACTACAGGCCTTGACCTTCTGCAGCAAATACTTCAAGTCCTCTTCAGATTTGGTGAGCAAGGTTGTGTCATCTACACAATGCAGATTATTACTGAGTCTTCCTCTGATCCTGTTACTACATTCTTCTTCATAAAGCCCAACATCCCTAATGATCTATCCATATATATCCCATATAAAGATATGAAGGAAGGACACATCCCTGATGCACTCCTTTCTTGATTTTGAATCATGCAATGATTGCTTGCTATGATCAGACAGCAGCTTCTTGTTCAGGCATAGGTTTCACATAAGCACAATCAAGTGTTCTGGGATTCTCATTCTTTTCAATATCAGCCACAATTTGTCACAACTATGCATAGTTAAAAAATACAAATAAACATTCTTCTGATACTCTGTTTTCAGCCTAGATCCATCTGACATTTGCAATGATATTCCTAGTGCCATGGCCTCTTCTAAACCCAGTTTGTATTTCTGGCAGTTCTCTGTTGATGTACTGTTTTAGCTGTTTCAAGATAATCTCCTGCAAGATTTTGTTTGCATGTGATTGAAGTGATAATTTTCAGAATGAGGATAGATATGGATCTCTTCCAGTCAGTTGGACAGGTAGCTATCCTTCAGATTTCCTGGCATACTCTGGTGAGCACATCCAGCACTGTGTCTTTTTTTTGAAATATGTCAACTGGTATTATATCAATTTCCTCCTTCATTACCATTGCTTCTTGATCATATGCTATTTATGAAATTGTTCTGTGTTGGTCAATTCTTTTTGGTACAGTGACTCTGTATTCTTTCCATCCTCTTTTGATGCTTCCTGGATCATTTCATTTTCTGCACATAGCATCTTTACATATTGCCAACCTGAGGCTGGAATTTGTTTTCCAGTTCCTTCTGCTTAAGAAATTCCAAGCCAATTCCTCTCTTTTGATTTTCTGACTCCACCTCTTTGCACATTTTATGATATTTTGTTTTGTCTTCCTGAGCTTCCCTTTGAAATCTTCTGTTCAGCTCTTTAATGTCCTGAATTCTTCCCTTTGTTTTGGCTTCTGGCATTCTAGTACAATATTCAGAGTTGCTTCTAACATTCTTCTAGGTCTTTTCTTCTTCCTCTTAGTAATGACCTCTTGCTCTCTTCATGAATGAAT